TGTCTAATCTGAATCCTTATATGTGCAGTGCAATGACGTCCACGTTTCAGAGGACATGTGACTCCAAACAAGACCAGGGAATGTGTTTGTAGACACTTGTTATATTATATTTTTTTCTGGAATTTGTTCTGTATTCAGTCAGTATCTTCCTTTAATAATGTTTGCATTGTTACCATTATCATTATCATTATTATTTTGCTTTTTATTATTGTTGATGTAGTTATTATTCTTATTAATATTATAATTGTTATTATTATTATTTTCATTGTTACCATTATCACTTTTTTATTATTGCTATTATTATCATTACTCATTATTATTATTATAATTATGAAAATGATTATGATTATGATTGCAATTATTATGGATGGCATCCTATTGCATTATGGCAAAGAATCCCAGACCATCCAGGCCATGAGTCAGATAATCACACAGGCAGGGAGCTGTGCTCACTGATGAACCCTGGTCTCACCAAATCCTTGCGGGAAACTGCACAAAATCCAAGCGACTATATATTTAGCTCTGGTTATTTTTTCTTTGAGAGGACTTCAAGTTAGTTTTTACAAACAATGTGAAGACTTTTATTTTGCTTGTTTCTTTAATTTTACTTATGAACTGCTGATAATTTTACTCCAGATATGGAACCAGGAGTCAAATGACTGAAATGCTACAGAAGTTCTTTCTTGTGTTCAGAATCTTGGAGTACTTCCATTAACTTTTGTCCTTCATATCCCACTGACTTGCTTGCCACATGATGAATGATGAAAACAGCAAAGCCTCATGGCATGGTTTACATCCATTAAAGAGGCAGACAAGCTATGGTTTTGGTAAACATTCAATAACAAACCATAATACTTTAGCATCAATGAATTCCTTGGCTTTGATTTATATAGTTGTCTGCCAGTCTCACACTTCCATTTCCTGTAACATCTATCCTCTGTCTCGATTCATGAATGAAAAGATGATGCATAATATCTATTAATTGCCTTTCTTGTCTCGCCTTTTGATATAGTGTTTTGATAATTTTACTGTTAGGCTAATTTTGTTCAAGTTGGTGAACAATATGATTGTTATTCTTGATAAAGAAAATAATAATTATAATCATAACTATAATAATTTTGATGATTATTATTATTTACCTGAATATCAATATTATTAGAGATTATCACATATATCATTGTTATTTACCTGTAGTTATTGTTATTATTGCTATTATTATTATTGATGATAATGACAGTTAGTGCTCATGCTGATTAACATCACGTTTTTATCCCATTTTAATATGTAAGTTAGGAATAAGGTATATGATTTTCTTTGAAATACATATGATTAATCCATTCACATACTTCCCACAGATGTGAGATATGAAATTGCTGTGTATCCTATCAGGATTGATTTCTATGAAACCTACAATCCTGGTAGTGTGGTACGAGTATGGGGTTCCTTAGAAGGGCAAGGTTGGGTGCTCTTGTGGTCGGAGAGGCACAGCTTGGCTTACGTCAAGTTGCACGCATTTTCTCCCCACCAGTTATACAAGCTGATAAACCTGTGAAGTGAGTGTAACAGTTTTTTCTTTCTTTCTTTCTCCTTATATTTTATGTTGATCAGGAAGTAATGGTCATGTTAAAGAGAGGAGGGAGGAAATAAAGATATTTTGGATATAAGAGGTCTTGCAGTCCTTATTTAGGTATTACAGTCAATATTTTAGTTATTAACAAGATGAGTCACTTGTTTGTTGCTTCAGTTGTAGAGTGAAGAAAGGGTAATGGAGTATGAAAATGAAACTTTCTCTTACAGTCTGCTGAGAATAGAATTGATCAACGTTGCCACAATTACTATTCTGCACTTGATGCCATCCTCTTAGTGGGCTCTACACACACATCAAGTAAACAGCATTTGACCTTTCAAGAAACCATTACATCACAGATCATGAAACTAGGTCTACACAACATAGCGTAAGTTAATGTTGTTTTTTATACAGTATGTTCGTGAATTGTTACTCAGATTTTTAAAAATGGTAATGATAATAAAAAAAAGAAAAAAAATATATAAATATATAAATATGTATATATATATATTATATATATATTATAATTGATATACACACGTATGTACATATATATATACGTACATACATACATGCATACATACATGCATACATACCTGCATGGGCAAGATGCATATTGTGTGTTTATTTTTTTGATAACTCACTTATTTAAGGGATCCATGAGATAGCATTAGAGGTAGATTGTAACAATTTGTGCTTTAACAGGAGTGAAGAAGAAAATCCTTTCCGGTGTGCAGTTCCTTTTGTCCGAAGAAAATTGTTGAGGATGGTGACAGAGGACAGTGAGAGCAAGGATGTAGAACCTCTGAGAGAAGAGAAGCAGAATTCATGGATGAATGTGAGACTGAGTCCAGCACAAAAGAAGTAATTAATGATGAAATAAGTGAGAGCAAATTACAGGACTTAGTGGATGAGGGTACAAGTGGAGGTTACTTTGACATGTTGCCTGTAAGTTACTGTGTTTAAGGTTTTAGAATGACTAAAATGCATGTTATTCCATGTGCAGATGTACAATATATTGGATTTGCACTACCCATGATTAGTGTTTTACCAGACGTGTTTGGACACATTTCAATTATTGAGCTACCTATAGAAGAATATTATTTTTATTTCTAGTGTATCACAAAGAATATCTGTTTTCCTACAGGAGGAACTCATTATTCACATTTTGAAAGAACTGGATATAAGAAGCCTATGTCGCTTGGCCCACACCTGCAAACTGCTTCAGAAGTACACTTCAGATCCCTTCTTATATATTAGACTGAATCTCAAGGTATTACTTTAGGTGCTCTTTATACTTGTAGTGAATTATTTGACAAATAATAGTGCTGTGATGATTATTTGGAACAACAATGATATGCATTATTAGATCTAGCTACTTATTCTCTTTCAGAACTGTTGGTGGTTGGTGAGCAATGCCACCCTAGAATGTCTTTCATCCAGATGCTTGCTTCTACAGTCTCTTGACCTTTCATGGTGTGGTCCCTACAATGCTCTTGACACTGAAACATTTATGGAATTCATCCACACGTGTGGAAGACAGCTCACCATATTGCGTCTCAATAACTGTCACTTCATTGATAATTATTGCCTCTATATGATTGCTAATGTCTGTCTCAATCTGGAAGGTTAGTTTTAATATGTATCATATTATTACTTCTTATTTTCACAACTCATTATAAGTGTTATATTACCTAGTTCACACCAGGAGACATATATTCTTTTGGGAAGTATTGAGCCCACATGTTAGGTGGTAAATATCCATTGCCATGTGTGGTTGGGAGTGCAATTAAAGCACCTTAACCCAATATCACAGTTTCAAAAAATTAAATAAAATTGCCAGGTTGTGTTTTATTAGATTACATTCAATATCATCAGTATGAACCTTCAGTAAGGTCACTCACCCCAGATGATAGTATAATAAATCTAACTAAGTAGTTTTATGAAATACTGAATGTAAACTTGATCACCTAATTATGGTATTTATTTTTCTAGAATTGAGCATGGCCAACTGCTTCAAAGTCGATCATCTTGGTTTTGGGGAACTGAAGAAAGCAAGATGTTTAAGTCGATTAGATTTGTCTCGAACACGCATCGATTCCATACACTGCAACTGTTACTACAACATGCTGGTCAACTTCGCCATCTTAGTCTGAGTAAATGAATATTTCTTTTAATTTGGACAGAAAATTATATTGGGTAAATTGCATTTTTATTAAATGGAATTATAGCTTGAAAAGACATAAATACATCTGTGATTGAGAGTAGTGAATATATAGTCAAATAGTTTCATCATCTTCCATCAGATAATTGCACTCAGCTTGATATGGATGAGGTTGCGCTGACACTGGCTACCTTTAGCCGTGACCTGATATCACTTGGTGCATGGAAGACTCACGGTCTCACAGCCAGAGGTCTTCGTGCTTTGGCTTGCATTCCAACACTCCAAGATCTTGACTTGGGTTGGGCGTAAGTGGGCAAGAGATCTTGTTGTGACTTTCATTTCTCGCCTGATGAGAAAAATGTATACAAACAAGTGGATGTGTAGATATATTCAGTAATTGTGATTGAGAATAATGAAAGATAGAAATGTGAAAACATCATGCATAATTAACAATGAAGAGAAGACATTCATCAGGTATTCTCAAGGCTAATGTGTACACTAATTTTCCCTAGATATTTTTAATGACAAAACAAGCTCATGATTGACTTTTACATGAAATAAAATTCATTGTAACTTGATTTAAAAAGTTTTTATCATGTACAGGTTGTCAGGAGTTATAACTGAGGGTCTGGGTGAGTTAGTACGAGGATGTCGAGGACTGAAGCGAATTTATCTTACTGCATTGAGAACACTAACAGACCATGACCTACATCACTTGATGACACACTCTCATGGACTCACACAGCTTGACATCATGGGCACAAGAAATGTTACTCCAGAAGCTGTGCACAGGTAAGAAACCACAATGAATATTTTTTGAAATATAGTGTGATGTTCTTTATTTCACCTGAAATCGTCACTAATAAAAGTGAAGTGAATATATGATAAAGTAAGTAATTTTTATGAAAAACCTTGTACAAGGCCACTATATTATATACGTTTTCCAGATTACTGCAGAGCTGCCAACATTTGGAATTACTTGATGTCAGTTTTTGTGAACAAATTCATGTTACATACATACATCAGTGGAATTCACAGTTCCCAAAAGTTGCCATCAAAGGGGGACTGAAGCACCAAGTTCGAATTGTGTGAAAAGGACATCTCAGTGAGGAAATATATTTATTATATTTATGATTTTTTATTATTATTATTTTATTTTATTTTATTTTATTTTTTCTGTGTGATTTAGATATTGAATGTTAATTGAGAAGTTAATGGTTTTCCTTAATCAAAAAATTAATTGTCAATGGATTTTGAATATGAATAAGGAACCATAAACATTACAATTAAGACTCTTAACTGATATACCAGTCTAAACTTATGGTATGAAGTTAATACAGGTAATCCTCGGTTTACAGTGCCCATTTGGTGTATATTGCTCTAGCATGATTTTTTTTATGGCTCCAGTTTTTTTCTTCTCTTTCTTTACCATGTAAATTATTCAAAATAACATTATTTTTTAGCTAAGGTTTTGTGCGTCAGTGAGCATTTCTCAGGACATGGAACACGTCTTGTGCCTTCCCTCCCCACTAGTTCCGCCCATGCAACACTTATTTTGGCCATTGCCCACCCCTCTTGACATTTGGGCTTCTCTTATGAAATATCCACCTCAAAAGTGGCTGTCAGAAGGACATTAAGTATTTATGAAAACTAAGAGAAAAATATAAAGCAAACTACAAAACGATGTTAAATTATTGAATTTGCCCAAGCACTCAACATAGCTAACAATCCATGCTTCATCTTGTTATTCTTAATAGCACAGTGATTGAAAAGATGGGAAAATGCTGACTATATGGACTGAAGATCAGAACTAGTGCACTTTCACTCACCAAGCTTTTCTTTAACACATAAGTGAGCTCAGTGCATCTCTCTTTAATTATTGTGTATAATAATTTAAACAGCTTCTATGAAGTAATTGTCATTGTTATTTGATTTTACAGTACAGATTTAGAAATGGAACTACCGTAAATCGAGAACTACATGTGTTTGCTTAGTGGCCAAATAATGTTTTTAAAATTTTTGTTGTCTTTTAATATTACATTATGATGTTTCTGAAGAAGAGAATTATGGTGTTGTATTACATTAATGGTTATTCATGCCTTGAGATATTTAATCATTATATTTGTTGATATTGTATCTTAAAAAAAATTGTTTGATTCTTAATCTTGACCTTTGCTATAATGGAGATGTGTGTTATATCTTCAGATATATAATTAGTCAAGTTAATGACTAAAAATTAGTAGAGTCACATTTGGGAATATGTAGTGCAACTGTAGCATGGTTGGTCAGCTAAAGTTATCTAAAAGGGTTAATTTATTAATTTATTATGTGGTAATAATACTGGAAACTAATATTTAGTTTTCAGTTTTGTATTACTCACAACTACCATTTCTTGTTTGTATGAAATTACATATTGTAATTCACAGTTATGTTATTTTTTAGTTTTTTCTCTTTAAACTGATGATGGCCAACCTAGCAGGATGTTAGATTTTATTGAAAATATCAAGGTGTTATCACACAGAGATAAAGCCATTTCCTACAATTACAGAAATGATGTGTAAATTGTTTTACAATTTGTAATAATTACTGTTTATGGGGGAAGATTAAAGCTCTTGAACCTGAATATTCTCAGAATGTTACATTGATTTTTGTATTTTTATACATATAATAATATATATGTATATATATCTAAATATATATATATATATATATATAATATTATATATATATATATATATATATATATATAATAAAATATAACAAGGTAGAGCATGTTAAATTGGAAAATATTGACAAATAACTGAAAAAGCTCCAGTTAAGTTTCTCATAGAACCAGTTCTTTGTCTAATTCTAAATAAATTTCAAGCCTTTTCTCTGCTTGCCAGCTCTGTGGCTCCCCTTCTATGCTAATGAGAGAACTACTGCAAGAGCAGTGAGCCAGGCAACATCATCAGTATTTGTTGTATAAACTACAGCGGAAGCCCATGTGATTTATCCCAGTGTGATAACCCATTTAACAATATTTCTTTTATATAGAAATAGTCAAGACATTGTATTTAGTGTTATATGTTTGTTTGTTTTTTAACATTAGAAGAGGCCTGTGTAAAGGAGTATGTTGTAATTTCAGCTTCAATATTTAATCACAGAGATTGTTTCAGTTCTTGCCAAGATCTGTTCACATAAATTATTTTGAACTAGGAGTCCACTGTTTACATATCAGGACATTACAGAGTAGTACAATAGATTACTGTGCATTCCGGAGAGAAGACATTTTGGGGAAATTTTCCCCTAGGAAAAAGAAATCCTAGGGTTCTAGTCAGTAGGCAATAAATATACTTTTTATTCAGTGTTTTAACCCCTGTGTTTTCAGCATATTTTATCATTGCAAACAAATAGTGAAATTATAGTACATGGTACCTCTGTACTTGACTATTGCATTTATAAATGCTTGAGCAGAAATTATTATATACTTGGATATTATAGCTCTAGGAAAGTTGTTCAGTCCGTAGACTGAATATTCCTGTCCTTTTTGTTTTACATGCTGTATTTCTATATTTCTTTTGATATTTTTCTCAACCATTTATAGCAGTTTAATGTGAAAAGTGGTCTTGAGAAGCAGGGACAAGAACTCTGAAAGATGAGAGACATTGGAATGGGAGGCAAAAATCTGTTGTTCAGACTTTAATTGCTGTATAGTCTTACCAGTTGTAAGGGCTGAAAATGAATCTTCTTGGAGATCTAAAAGGCACCGAGTGAATGCAAACCCCCACCTTCAGTTCATAAAAATTAGATAAATCTACCTAGAGTACTGAATGTACTAACATCAACATTCATAAACCTCACATTCTACTTTATCTTTATAACAAAATTGCTCTTAACTTACCCTCATCTACAAAGACATGCATTCTTCACTAGTACGTATCCATCAATCCCAGATCTTCAGAAAATCTAATCAAATGCTCTCTGGGCTATAGGCAGCTCAGCCATAAATTTCCATTACACTCCCCCGGTAACTTTTGATGGAATCCTGGTAACCAGCAACTAATAAGTTGGCCAGTTAACCAGTAGGTAAATAAATGCAATACTAATGATCAATCTCAAGGGAAAGAATGGAAAGAAAAGAAGAAAAAAAAAGACATCCTTGCCTATTACTTATGGTAACATACTTTCAACATTCCCATTAGTTTATATTTCTTGCTCTTAAGTTTAAAAAAATATATATCTAATAAAAATAATGACAGTTTTGAAAAATAATATTAAAAAAAGGAATCAGCTTTTCGTCTACATGCCAGGACTTTAACTACACAAAGTAATTTCACTATTCTAAGGAATCAGACTAGTTATGATGGTAGAGTTGTTGCAGTGAACTAAATATGGGCCAGTTATTAAGGGAGAACCAATGCATAAAATTCTGTCTTTATTGCTGTGAATATAAAAATAACAATATTATTTTCTTATAAAATACATTTGTCCTATGTTTGAAAAGTAACTGAACTAAGTTATACAGAATTGGAGTTCAAAATAATAAAAAGGGAAAATGTAATTTAAAATTTTACAAATTACATTTGAAAATTAAGAATATCAAATCTGTAACTAGCACTATCTGGCATTTTCTCAACCTGTTCCCTATTCATTTAGCTATCCCTGAAATCAAGGTGGAGTTATTTTGATAATTTCTAGTTTAACCCATTGGCGCCGGGTGTCACATACGTACATGCCATGGCTATTGTGGACCAAATGCCGGGGGCATCATGTCATGCCCATTCCCGCGCTACTGGCTCGTCGGACGGAGGTTGTTTTTCTCCAGTATTAGCGGCTTCATTTATATGGTAAAGATTTTAGGCAATGGCACCTAAAGTGAAGGTAAACCTTCAAAATTTTAATATTCTTATAAATTTTAGCAAAATAAAAGCTTTTAGGTGCTATATGTTGCTCGCAAACTACCGATCGAGCTGGGCGCAAACGGGAAACTGCCAGTGCGCGCCAACAAGCCCGTGCATACGTAAACTTGCCAAAATTTTTACCCGTCGCTGATGGGTTAAGTACTGGGTCCATAAAGTCCACCTTTTAGGCAACATGTGTTATGGAAAAAAACATACAGTAGAAGGGGTACTGGGCAACAAAAGGGAGACCATTAGGATATTTAAAAAGTCATGGAAAAGGTTAAACAATCAAGAAAGGTAGTACTAGTAACTAACTCCTTAGTGACTAAGTTCTTGTGAAGCAAATTATGTGTTACAACAATTAAAAAACTACACTCGCAGTGGACATGGCATGTATGAATATGCCATCCCCAGTATCATCAGCCTAAGTTTTACTTGAAACATGCCCGTCAAAATGTCATACGAGCCTTAAGTAGTTGTCATTATTCCATAAACAACTCCAGGACACTGGGTCATACATGCCATACACATAAACTCTACTGTTTAAATGGCAGAAGGAACAATTTTAACAACATTTCCTTCACAAAATATTTTCTAACAGAGAAAACAAGTTTACATAATAAAAAAGATTCAACAACATTTTTTAATGTAATATAACAAATATTATTACAGTCATGCTATGGTACTATCACCTTATACTTTGTTACCAGGATAAAATTATGGTAGCAAACTTCTAAGTACTGTACTAAAAACATTTTTTTTTTATATTCTTCAGATTTTCATAATCATACAAATATAGAACACCAAAGAATCTTTCCCACTATCCTCTGCCTGTCTTTACTTTTTCTTTGCGACTACAATTTGTATATTGATATACAAAACTACTTTTTCTCTACAATAATTTAGACTTCAATATACTTTCAATTAATTTACCTTTACTTTGTCTTTGAGAACATACATTATTTTACTGTTTATGTATTAGAAACAATTAATAGAAAATAGCTGGACAAATAAAAGGCAATTTGTACATTTCACATATATTTAAAAAAAAAAACACTGCTATTTCATTTTCATTTTCTTTGCTTTCTGACCAGGTATATTGGTCTTATTGGGCTGTGGTTTTCCTTTACCTTTCTTTTTCCTCTTTTGTGCTTTTTTCCCTTGGATATTGCCATTCTTTCCTTTCTGTTTGACTGTAGTTTTTTCCTTTCCATTAGCAGAATTCCCCTTCTTTCCAATAATAATATCTTCTGCCTCTTCTTCTGAACTTTCTACATCCTTTACATCACTCTCCTCCTTTTTGACATCTTCCATATCTCCAAAATCTTCATCTTCTAAATCATCTTCTTCTAAGTAGCTTTCTTGGCTGTCTGAATCATCTTCCAACTTTTCCAAACCTTCTACTTCACCTTCTAACTCTTCTTTATCCTCTTCATCTTCAATGTCTTCATCATCCAGGTCGTCATCCTCATCCTCATCAACTGATTTTTCTATCTCTCCTCCTCGTCCTCCTCCTCATCTTCATCAAGTGATTCTTTGACATCATCTCCCTCTTCTACTCCATCATTAGCATCTTTAGCTTCCTCTTTCTCTTCCTCTTCCTTCTTGATAGTCACTTTCTGACGACTTATACGAATATCCATGCAGGTAATACGACATGAGATATCGACTTTCCCTATAAGTCTGGG